ATTTTTATTGATGTCAGAGAGGAATGGAGAGGGAGAGAGAGAGAGAGAAACATCAGTGATGAGAGAAAATCATTGATTGGCTGCCTCCTGCACGCTCCCTACTGGGGATGGAGCCCGCAACCTGGGCATGTGTCTGGCCGGAATCAAACACAGGACCCTTCAGTGGCTAGGCAGATGCTCTATCCACTGAGCCAAACCAGCTAGAGCTTGATGGTCATTTCTGAATTACTTGCTACTTAAATATTAGCTGGCCCATTAATGAAGTGTTTTCACATACACCTCCATGAAGAAATCAGAGAGTCCTATATCACACCCAACTCACCTTGCAGTGATGATCAACATTCTCACAACCCAAGTTGCACCTCCTCCTTAGTCTGCGTGTCACTTGTAAGAAGGCGCATTGGCACGGCCATATCTTTTCAGCACATACCCTTTCACGTGATTTTTCTCTTCCCACCCTTCACGCCCACCCTGAAATCCCTTTAATGCAACAGTGCGTATTATCATTTTTTTCTCTCAGATGCCCACTCATGCTACCACCAACAGAGACAATTCAACAACTTAACACATTTATAAAAACGCAGAAAGTACCTGGACATAGGCTCTGCAAGAGCGCTCCCTTTTCTGAAGCTGAATCCAATAAGACAGCAGATTAAACACGGAATAGAAAAAACAAGTTAGTGACAGAAGGAACAAGAAAAATAAAAGAACACATCTACACAAAACACCTTATTTTGTTGAGCACCACTTCCTAGAAGAGGATGAAAGCTAAGCAGCAGCAAAATGTAAGCTATGGCTTGTAAAATAGTGGCCAACACACTTTCAGAACAGCCCAAGTGAAAACTGGATGGTGTAAAGCTGTTAATGATGGAAGGAAATCTTGGAGTAAATTTAGTAGAAATTAGTAAAAATCAACATCCTTCATTCATTGTAAATGATTAATTTCACATCAGGTTAGTTACTAAGTCATGGGCCACAGATAAAGACATATGAAGTTAAGTGACAAAAATTTGGAACCCGTTTTTCAAAGATAGGATGTCGTTTGTGGTTTACAGACTATGCAGATGGTTAATATGCAACCACAAACTTTGTGTTCAAACATACAAAAAATTCTGTTTACCTGAAAAATAGAAATGCCCATTCATTATGACTATTTGATTCTAAGGGACAAATACCAAGAGGTAAGTAACTTCTGATTAAAAGAATATGAACAATACCCTGATTTATCACTGCTTTTATAGTTCCCAAATAATTTCCTTTGACAGTTTTGACCAAATAAAAATTTATACATTTTAGAAACTTGTGTGGGATAAGAAGCCCGTTTTTATTTATTTATGTATGTATGTATTTATTTATTTATTTGCATATACAAGGAGGTTTTACTACATTCATGTACAGATGGGGTCAGGCCTGTCAGAAG